ATTGCAGGTTAACAAAGACACAACAATAAAACAAATAAAAAATGAAGCAATGTCTCGTTTAAACATATCTGGACCTCAACAGACATTGCTTTTAGCAGGGAGGCCCCTTATAGATGAAAACTCTGTCGAATTTTATGATAGCATAAAAGAAGGAACAAAGTTATTACTAGTGATAAAAAAACAAGAAGTTCTAAATTTAAATGATGAATTAGTAAAATATTTCAAAAAATTCTACAGTGATGAAATGGCTCAACAATTTGCTAAAAGTTTTATGATTGAATTTAAAAGAAAAACTGCTTTATTAAGTTTAGATGATATAGAAAGATTAGCTACCTCAGATGCACTGTAAAATGAAATAATTTGTGTCTGTTATTACGTTATTTTAAATTTTAACAATTGTGTAGGTATGACTTCCATTATTTATATTTCTATAATAAAATAATATTAAATCAATGATTTAAGTATTTCAATTTTTAATGTTCATGTTTCTCTCTGTGCGGAACAACTAAATCCAGTTAAAATTTTAAGGAGTTGCATATAATAGTTGATCATTTTTCTAGAGCATATTATATTGACTACATATAATAGTTTCTTTTCTGTACATTCAATATAAAAACTAAGTATTTTTAGATGTTTAATTATGTTTTCATTTTTCTGTATCATATTTTTCAACTATTATATTACTGAATACTTTGATAAAAGGTTTATGCTAGTAACAAAATTGTAATTTTTTTCCAAATGATTACATTATATTAGAAATTGAGAGAATTTAAAAATATAATTAGAAATTTATTAATTGCTTGATTATAATCTTCATGGTAGTTCTAAATAACTGCTTCAACCATATAGATGTAGCTATGAGAGACCATATATATTGATTTAACAAGTTTATTGGAGAGGGCTCAACTTATAATAACCTAGCCCACACCAACAAATTATATTAGCATATATTGCAATGTCAAACAATTACAATAAAAATGAGAGTACCTTTTACTGTGAATATAAACACTGTTTTTGCTTATCAATCAACAAATAATATTTCATCAGATAGAAAAGTTAAATCAGAAGATTTCTTGTGGGATAGTAACACTCCGGAGGCCTTGGCAAGTTTATGCATTAAAAGAATAGCATTAACTTGGGCAGGTAATTTTGTATGATATACATTAACTTTTTTTTAAATAAATAATAGACCATAATATATACGGAAAACAAAAACAATATTTGTATTAGTGCTTGCAATGAAAATAATTCCATTGGATTAACTCAAATATTTATTATAATCTTGAGTAAATAGACTGTGTTAAAAAAGGTATAACATATTCACAAAAAGGTAAAGACATTATAAATATACACATTATTCAATACTTTTTTGTAATACAGATCATTAAAACTTAATAAATGCTCAACATTTTAAATGAAAAATCTATGTACAGTCTAAAATTAAACAAAAGATAAAACTTATATTGTACTGAATACTTTTTTGAGCTTTTCCTATATTAATGTGAATTTATTTAAAATACAGATTTAATTATTTATAAAAATTATACTATAGATGAATAAAATTGGCTACTTAACAGTGGCATGAAACTAAATCTTTCCTCACAATTTATCAACAAATGGCGATTAGCTAAATTCTAAATTATATTTGCATGCTATTATATATATATTTATATATAATTGCATGCAAATATATATATATATATATATATATATATATATATATATATATATATAATTGCATATCTATCATTATCCATGATTTGAGAAGAATGTTATTCTTATGGAATTATTAATTATTATTAACAATCATCAAGTCCATAGATTTTTTATATTGTCTGAACTCCTCTGCCACAGAATCATATTCTTTTGTCAGTTCATTCACCATTTTTTCAATTTCTTGCTTATCCACTTTTGGTTCTGCAGCAACAGTAAAACTTTTCAAATAGCGGCAAAGTTTATCTTCATAATAAAGACAATCAAAATTTTCTGATTTTTTAAATTGAAAAGGTTTTATGGGAGATAGTGGAAAGACTTTCATGTCTCTGTATAAATTATTTATTCTATCCATTAATGATCCATTGTTGCATATATCATCATCATCTTCAACTTGTGTGAGCTCTACTTGAGATACATCTATCAGAGCTGCAGTTTGATCAACATCCATGTACATTGTTGACGATGCAATGTTTTCAACAGCTGATACTGTTGGTGCTTCGGTAATATGTGGATATGGTTGAGCACTGTATTTAAAAAATTGATGTGAAGGCATGTTGCTTGAATAATATAATGGTGTTTGAGTCGAGTTGTTTGAAAGCAAAGTACTTCTTTTGGCAATGATACTGCTTTCATCTTTGTTTAACCCAGATGTTATATCGAATATAGAAGGTGTAACAGGGTTTGTTCTCTTTTCTATAACAGTTGATGATTCTAATTGTGGTTTTAATGTTTGTTGTACATTATTTTGCAAAAGAGAAGAATTGGTTCTGTTAATCATAAAACTATTTTTGTTTTGGCTTAATATAGATGCTGAATCAAGAGCATGAACTTCATTTGAACTTATCTGTTTTACTACATTTGAATCTAATTGTCCTGAAGAAGTCTTATAACTTTGACTTGTAGCAGCATTATTAGATTTTATCAATGAATTTTGTTCCAAAATATTTGGTGGCAATAATTGGTTTTTATTACGTATTGTACTGCTTTCATCTTTATTAAATCCGAGACTAAAATCAATAACTGAATGAATATCGGTTACCACTTTCATAGATCTTGTTATTGGTGTTTGTATCAAATTATTTTCAAGAAGTTCATTATTTTTGCTCATCATGATACTGTTTTCAGTACTATTGAACACTGAAGGATTGGTGTGTTGAATTGTTTCTTTTTGTTCACATTTTGAATTTGATTGTGGCGTAAAAAAAGTTTTATAACATTGCACTAGAGATTCATTATTTGCTTTTAATAATGAGGTTTGATTTAAATTATCAAGCAGTTTGGAATTATCATTCATGATACGATTGTCGTCTTTGTTTAACCCAGATGTTAAGTCAAATGCAGAAGGTACATTAGGTCGCAAGTTACATAGAGCCTCAGTCCTTTCAGATTCATTATTTATTTCAGAAGTGCATTCTAGTGCAGGAATTAAACTCTTACTAGAATTGCATATACTATATTTTGATAAAGCATTGTCATTGAAAATTGAATTATTATAATCTAAGGTCTTTCTTTCAACATTATTCTTTTGATCACCAAATATTATACTTGTACAATTTCTTTGGAGATGTTGATTATTGGTTTCAGCATTGTTTTGATTATTAATTGCATATTCAGAGAGTTGTGTTATTTCTTCAGCTTCAGGTCTCACATCGTTAACCATTGCTTCAACTTGAACTGATGATGCTGAAACTTCAGATTTAATTTGTAATGCCGGAGATAAAATATTGTTTAAAAGATGATTCGTAGTCAAAACTGTTTGCTGTGTATGAACAGCTTCTGTATCATTAGAACATGCTTCAGGATTTTTCTCAAAGTTTGGATATTTCCATACAACTGCTTTACATTTCATCAAGGATGTCTTACTTACTGCATTATTAGAAAATTTATCAATAATAATATTATCATCATTTTTATTACTGAATGATGAGCTTTTCTCCATAACAGAAGGAACAATGGGTTGCATGTTACATAAAGCCTCAGTTCTTTCTGATTCATTATTTTTTTCAAAAATATTTCTCATTGTATTGCTTTCTGAGGAAATTAAGTCTTTATTAGAATAGCACTCATCATGTTGTCGTAATTCATTGGTCTTCAAAATTGATGTTTCTTGAAGAGTCATATCCATATCATTATCATGCTCTTCAAATACAATAGTTTTTCGTTTATTTGTTTCGACCCCAACACCTGGAGATGTATTATCACAAAGAGTCAGATTCATATCATTATCTTGTTCAGCAAAAACTATAGTTGTTCGTTTGTTTCTCACTGTATCAATTTGGGCAGCATCATTTGTAATGGTCATTTCCATTTCACCATCTTGATCATCAAACACTATAGTCATTCGTTTGTTTCTCACGGTATCAATTTGGGCAGCATCATTTGCAATGGTCATTTCCATCTCATCATCATGTTCACCAAATAAAATAGTAGCTCTTTTATTTTTTACTATCACATTAGATTGTGGTTTAACAATATCATTTTCTTTGTTATCAAAAATACTTTCTGCCACTTGTGTTAATTCTAAATCTGCTTCAGTACCATTGAATGTGATAGTTCTGCGCTTGCTTTTAATATTGGTATCAGCAACTTGGTACTCACTTATTTTCTTAAAATCATCATTACAAGTTTCATGGGATCTTTTCTCCTTTTTATGTGGAGGACTATCATGTTTGTCTGTTACATCATAATCAGAAATTTCATAAGATCCCTGATTATCACTTTGATCATGGAAAATTCTGAAAATTTCAATATTTAAATTTTAATATTCATAATGAAATACAAAAGAGAATGAACAAAAAACAGATTCTTCTTCCAGAATGTGGAAATTGGGAACCTATTAAGTCAGGAAAGGACAAAAAACTAAATTCATACAACTGGAGTCAAGCCAAGTAATTAATTTTTTAATATTTATTAGGTGCTAATAAAATACTCACTTTATACTTCGTCTACATGAAAAATTTACACGCCGATTTTTGGATTCAGCTTCAGGCGCTATTGTTGACACAGTCAGTGTTTCTTTGGGCAATTTCAAAATCTATGAATAAAAGAAATATATCACATAATATGGAAAAAAAATATTATACACAAACATAACGCTTATAAATAATTGCATACCGATGATCTTCTTGGCGTATTCATATTTATAACAGAAATAGTACATTAAAATTGTTATTCAGGAATTAACTACCCATATTCTAAACACTCTTTGCATAAAAAATATTTGAAAATTAATAATAATTTAACTAAACTTCTACAAATACTAACGACACTAACAAATAACGAAAATGTCAGTTAAAACTAAGGGTACTGGCGCATTTTAGATTATGACACAATCTGTCATATCGATGACATGGCTGTCAGATTGAACTAAGGTTGCTGGCGCATGTTAGTTTATGACAGTATTTGTCACTATTTGTCATGATATGGCACCATCGTTGACACAAAAAATAGCTTTTTGAAACAGTTATGATGAATTCATTTGAATTATTAATTTATAATATTATTAATTTGTTATTAATATTATTATTATTAACTATACTAATTTTAAACCAATCAGCCCGATTAGCGTTTGTTCAGCATTTTTTTCAATAACCAATTTTTTTGCTCTTTTCCGCTAATCCTACAGCCGGCAACATACTTTTCTGCATAATTGCGCAAGCTATGACTTGGTTTGCGCAAACACTTGAGTCGTCTGTGGGCACTGTGAAAATTTGACTGGTTGCGCTCTCATAGACATCGGCCTAGACATTTTATTAAGCCGGCGACAGACGTTACTGTATACCTGTGCAGTATACAGTAACGTCTGTCGCCGGCTTAATAAAATGTCTAGGCCGATCGTCTTGCAAAACTAATCAACGCAAGTTCTTATAGAGTTTAATCAAATTCAAAGTTTATAATTTCAAAACTAATAAAAAGAAATTAACTTCAGGTTTATAAAGAAGTCTTACAAAAGCTTAAAAATGTTTGGCAATTTTGTCAAAACGTTTATGTCGTTTTAATAAATTATTAATTAATATAAAAAAAATTACATATATTGTACAACCATGTTTTTATTTATTTAATATAGATTATACATTATACAATGAGATATGCAAATGTGAAGATCTTGATTATTTAGCCGAATGTCTATCAAGTGATTTGGCTCAAAATGAAAAGACATCTAAACTTGTACGTTCGGAAGCATTTTGGAGACGAGCTTTTGAAGATCGTTGGCCACACCTCAACAAGAAAAAGGCAAAATCTAAAACCTGGTTGCAGGTAAAACTAAATAGTAATAATAGTCATATGTTTAACTCCCGAAAGTATTTAATCTTAAAGCTATATAGCTTGTTTCCGAAACAAACATATATTTTTTATGGCCTATCGCATATTACAACTATTTAACTCTGTGTACAGTATACATAAATTTTAAATAAATATTTCTTCCAGACTTATATGGAAATGCATGCAGCTGAAACCATAGAGAACTTGAATCCTGATGACTGCACCAGAAAAACCGTAATAAATATTAAATAAATGATTTCCATAATTATAAATTTATCTTTTTCATTTGCAGATCGATAATTTACAAAATCTTTGCTCTCAACACGTTAAAGAATTGAATTTGACTCAAATGGTGCCTAATAACGTCGTTGATAATGGTAATATATAAATAATTAATTAAATTAATAAGTAATAAATTTGTACTAATAAGTAATTTGTTATTTACAAACAACTATCATATCTTTCTGATATAAAAATAGTTTTAAATCCTATAGCACAGTTTACTGATTTTATTTCAGAGCATATACCAATATCATGTTTTCTCGAATGCTTTCCTCATTTAACAAAGTTACACATAACATATAGTGTGAAAGATTTGAGGCGACAGTTTGAATTTGGCTGCTACGATCCAACACTTCTGGACATCAAAGATTTGTCAAATGGTCTCGCTAATTGCACACATCTTAGATCACTTAAGTAAGTTAAATTAATATGATATTATATAAAGATACAAAAAACACTGCAATTTCTCTAAGTCTACATTAAATCATTTTTATCAGAATATATAGAACAAGACTATGTGGGGGAACTGCTTTTCTTTTTGATTCTTTATTACGATGTGGCTTGGAAGAGTTGTCACTTCCACATTGTTCCTTAGGAGATGAAGGAGCTGCACATGTCGCCAGTTTAGTACAGTCAAACGCTATGCTCAGATATTTGGATCTTTGTGACAATGAAATAGGTACATAACATGGTTAAGAATTTTTTATTTTGTTTGCCAATATGTGGATATATTGAAACGAGTGAACGAATTGGTTAAATTGCACTCCGTTCAACAAACAAACAAGTTAACAAATAAACTTATTTGATGATTTTTGAACATATTCGATTTCAGCGACTTTCGCTTTCATTATTTTCTGCAATATGCAGACTATGATTTAACCATACATACACTCAGTTTCACAAGAGTCGAATTGGAATCAATACCTATCTTAATTGCCATTGCTTGGGAGGAGCGACTAGGGCGGGTGCAGAGCACGCTAATAAGAGTGCAAAAAATGTAAAAAGGGTAGGCAAGAACTATGGAGGGACTAATTTTATAACATTGTTGACAAAAAAAAAAAGAATATATGGTGCGCTATATAATTATATACAATCTAATAAAATAAAATTATAAGGTTAATATATAAAATATATATGATATAAATAAATAATAAAAAAAACGTCTACTTATTCGAGAGTTAAGATAGGGATTTTATTTATAAATATTCTTAATTACAGCTAAATATTTGAATTATTGTAAATAGGTAATATCGGCGGACAATTACTGGCATCAGCAATCTTTGAAAGTTCTAATGAAGATTCTGAATCAGATGAATTATCCTTGTTGGGATTGTCGCTGAGGCTAAATCCAATAAAAGACGAAGCTGCCTCTAAAATCTTTAAAGGACTTACATTCAATAAGCAAATTAAGTTGTGAGTAGAACTAATTATTCCAGCTCCAGGAGAAAAATCGGAAATTAAGTTTGTCCAACTAACGTTTATTGAAAATAGCTATTGATTATTATTGATTGAAGTATTTTTGTACCATTTTGTCGTTATTTACAGTGTCGATTTATCATGCTGTTCTATAACTGCTAAAGTTTTCGAGCAATTTGCGCTTTGCTATAAAAATAATGCGCATTTGGAAGAAATTAATTTATCAAACAACTATTTAGGAAAGGTAACTGATATAAAACATATATATTTAATTAGGTTTAAACTTTTTTTTTTGTTGAAGGCGTTTTCTGAAAAATTTGTTGAAGAGCAATTATCCAATCAACAAATCAGAATTTTAGATCTACGTGTTACTGGTTGTGATTCTGAAATTTTGAAAACTGTCGAAAAACAGTTGTATGATAATCGAAAACGTATAGAACACACCTTGTCCATTCGAGCTGGAAAATGGAGACAAAGTGTTATAGAACGACGAAGAAGAACTTAAATGATTAAATAATGAAAGATAATGTAAAGCTACATATGTTTGATAATGAAGTGTTCCATACAAATACTTCAGTAAAATTCACATATAATGCTTTTGAGCAGAGCAGGCCCAAATATACAATGTATATGGACATTAAGAAATAAAATAAATAATTTCAAATTTCAACCGCTTTTCAATGAATTTTAAGTGATATTTAAATTCCAATTGCTTAATATCGTTGGATAATTAAATATAAATTATATAGAAGAATTACAAGTTTTGTGTTAAAAACACTAGATCACAAATATGTACAAAATATATTTATTTATTAACTTCCCGTAGGGCAAGTTATAGTAATCGCAAAAAAATCGAAAATTTTTATATATCTTTACGTTTCAGAGGTTTCTGAACATTTTGGCATACCTTAGAAAAAATGGATGTATGTGTGTGTGTGTGTGTATGTATGTATGTATGTATGTATGTACGTGTGTGTATGTATGTGCGGATACAAATTTTCGTCGACGATTTCGGGAACACGGATCAACCGATTTGAATAATTCAAAAAGCATTCGATTTGTATTGATAAGGAGACGTGCTAATTAGTTTTTGGCGAAGGCCGATCCAGCCGTTCCAAATATACGGGGCAAAAAGTGCCGAACACGGTAACTCAGTTTTTAAGAGAACGGAGCGTCCGATTTTAATAATTCAAAAAACATTTGACTTGTATTGACAAGATGAAGAATTGATCAACGTGATCACATCGTGATGTACTTTACAATTTCTTAAAAATCTCATTCGAAAATTTATATATTGTTCAATATAAAATGACAAGGATTGGTTTTTTGGTGCATTGTGAACGTTTATAATATGAAATAATTAGGATTAATTCAATTACATAGTCCACTGAAGATGACACAAAACAATGTGTCGAAACGTATGGAAAAAATAAAAATGTTTTAAAGTTCATACAAAATTTTTTAATTGATGTATTGCCCTGAAAACTGAATATCACATATTTCAACATCAAAATTATATATAAAAAATTTAATATATATATATATATATATATATATGTATATATATATGCATAAGTAAGTTCTTGTGGGGCGATACATCAAAGAATAAAAAGCAAAGATTTATAAATTAATCTTTAATTCCAAACGTTTCGACATTCAATTTAATGTCATCATCAGTGGATCTAAAAACAATATGAAAAATTAGTATATCTAGGTAATTATAATACCTGTGGATTGGTATAATACTATAAATATAAGAGGAAATTAACAAAACATCACACTAACACAAACACAATATAAAAGATAGAAAAGGTAATAGAGACTAGATATTATATGAATAAAAAGAAAAAGAATATAGGCATAACTATATAAGTACACATATATACACATTCATATAAACCTACGCGTATGCATATATACACATACAGTAGAACCTCGATTATCCGGACTAATTGTTATCGATAGGCATCCGGATAGTCCAAATTATGAAGAATAATGTTTTGTTTATCAAAAATAACAAATGCATACATATATATAAAAAAGAATCGATGTTTATTAGAAAATTCACACTTACATATTTTCTTAGATTACATTATACATATTATATTAATCATGAGGTAAAATATTCAGGTGGTACGTAAAGTATCAATGAAGAAGAAAAGTTGCTTACAAATAATTTGTTGATCGTTTTTGTAAATATCAACAATATAAGGCTTCTTCTAAGAGTTCATTATTCGGTCTCTTCACCATTTTCCGATTTTCACTACTCTCTTTACTATCTAACTTACAAGTGTACGACAAAATTGAATCGGCATTTTTTTTAATATCGCTTATAGTGGATGTTTCTACACTGCACCATACCTATCAGCTAACTTACGGCCGGTTTCGCCTTTTTTAATGATTCTATAATATTTATTTTATCTTTAAGGGATAATATCACCCTTTAAAAATGTATATATGCACGTCAAAACAGAGAATGTATTAATGTATATATGCACATCAGAATATGCAAGTTCCGACGCGATTATGTCAAGATAATCGCGAATCCGTATAACCGAGGTCCGGATAATCGAGGTTCTACTGTATATATATATATATATATATATATATACATACATATATACATATATACAGGGCCGGACCTGCCTTGCATGCGATGCATGCAAAAAATGCGGGCGCACGCCTTAGGGGGCGCCAAAACGAGATTCGGAAATAGAGTTTATAATATATTATTAACATTTTTTTCATATAAAATTTAGAATACTTAATAGATTATAATAAACAATCTAACTTAATGGATACGTAGACACAAAAAGCATATTCAGTTTGCAATGTGATATCAGTAGAAACAATTCATTACTCTGCAAATTAGTAGATTATTGTTCTGCTTATTGTTTCATGTACTTATTAAATTCTTCTCGTTTGATGTTTGAGTTAATGTGGACTCAAAAAAGAAATTGTCTAGTGTTCAAACCCGTAAGCACAAACCTACGAAAGTTTAAATTATTGGGCATTATTGACGAAAAACTACAAGCTGATTTAGTTTGAACGAAACTTGTTAAAAAAATAGATACAAATTATAATATAAAAACATGGAAAATTGGAAGTCAGTGCATAGAAAATGGCTTATTAAATTAAAACCGAGAAACTGAATAGTAACTTTTGTTTTTGTTGAAAATGTTTCGCATCTGATGAAGTTGGACGTTGAAGACATACGTGGTTAGATTTATGGAAATGGAGCAAATATGAAAAATGGAAGCAAAATGTACTAGAAACAAAAATCTTGAGCTTTTTTCATACCTATTGGTGCTTGTACTAATTTTAATTATTAACTAAGCAGAGATAATACACATACAAATATAATTGTTTTGTTTTCAATATAGTTAAGGAAATATGTAATTTCTTTGCATCTTTTAATAAAATACGTTAAAAATTTAACTTTAAAACAACAATCTGATATTCTGAATCAGATGGGAAAGTAAATATGAATACAATTCGGTCCTTACGATAACAATAGGAGAAGGTTAAGTTTACGATACAAATTTTGGATATTGTATATAATGAAAAAAAATTAAAATAAAATTTAAAAAATCAACATGAAAAACAGTGTTTTGTTTAAAAATAAAATAAGTAAAATGTTTCAAAATCCAAATATTAATATTACACATATGAAAATGTAAACTGTTTGATTATGGTCAACCCGCAAATCGCTTCGATTTTCTAAAAAAAAGTAAGAATCAATGTATTTTATAAGTGTTTAGATTATATTTAATTTTTTGTGTACTTAATCCAGAATGATTAACCTCTTCGACTCGGATGCCGAAAATTCGCGAGTGGAAAGTGTTAAAAATCAATTTAAAGAATTTACGTATATATTTTTATATAATTTTAAAATAAATGTTAAAACAGTTATTAAAATTATGGGGAGGGGGGCGGCTAGAAAAAACAATCTGCATGCGGGCGCTAAGGACCCCAGGACCGGGCCTGCATATACATATACATATATATATATATATATATATATATATATACATACATACATACATACATACATACATGCAACATATATATACAACATAAATAACTACATATTTATGTACTCATACATATATATACACATATACGCCTACACATATATGCATATACACACATATTATATATATATATATATATATATATATATATGCAACTTGCATGCTTATTCACAACGACGGCATATACATGTATGAAAAAGACATATACTCATATCTATCTATGTAAATATAGCTAAACACGTACATTCATATATACATAT